ACCAGTTAAAAGCAGATTTCACATCAGACCCATTTCATGCCTTTCAAGAAGTTTCATTTGTGGAGTTCACTGTGAATACACATAACCACCTGACCATGTTTTTTATGGTCAGGGGCAGGGTACTGCACACAGGAATCTCATCTGATTCACTCGTGCCACACTGTTCTTTTGCTTCTTCATTTACTTGTGTCTGTGCATCCAGGTACAGGAAGCCCCAGCAGCCAGAGCTGCTCCTGGATGGCAGGAACTGCCTGCACCAGGCCCCACACAGCAAAGAGAACACTGCAGCCTTCACCAGGGCTAGAGAACCAAGCCAGAAACATCCTTCCCTTCTGCACTCTGCTTTGTATGGTAACTCAGCAAAAAATACATTTGTCCCCTCAGACAATGGAAACGAAAGGTATTTTCATTTATAGAGCATTTGTATTTTTCCATTTTTATTTGCTCTACAAATAAAAATTTTAAGAAAAGGTTGGATGAGTAATTGAAGGTGTTTTTGTTTTGGAAGTTCCTTAAAATGTGTTACCAAACAAGCTTTCAGACAACACTGAAACTTACTGTTTCCTGAGGCCAGCTGCAAGGACCATGGCACTGTGATGGTTAAAGCGCTTTATAATGGCAGCGTTGCTACTCTCCCGAGCAGACTTGGAAGCATTTGATGTAGAGGCCACAGAAGCAATGCCATAGCCCTGCAAAGAAAACAGCATCAGCTGCCTCCTGCCCCCAGACCAGGACAGTTCTGTTTCCCACTGAGTCAGGAACCCTGCAGGCCACCTTCTCTGAACCCCTACTGAGTGACACTGCATCATTACCTGCAGCGGTATTTTCCCACCATGCCCCACCAACACCTTATGTACTTTGAAAAATCTCCATAGACTATTTTATCCTGATAACACTTGGCAGTTTAGAGGTGTCAGAGAGAAGAAGAAAAATTCTTAAACAGTTTTATAAGGCCATGTTATAAGTCAAAACAGAACTAGCTTAAAAAAAAAAGAAGGATCACCTGTATGAAACAGGCACTGATGGCATGTCAGAGCTAGCAGTTGTTTTACTGACCTCTTTTTAATAACTTGTGGGACACCAGCAGCCCCCAGGCTAAATGACACCTGTCAGGAGGATGTGATGTCACTAGGAATTCAAAAAACCTCAAACCTTGATGCTGGCAGCACTCCCCAGTTACCAGGTGGCTGCAGGCAACTGGCTTTACCCCGTACACAGTTTCATGCTTGCAGTTAACCAGCCTCAAAGGCAGAGCAGGGCAGTTTATGCTGCACATCAGACACACCTGCCTTAGACTCCTAGTCTAGTTTCAGAGCATTTGTACAACTCTTAGAGGGAGGGGGAAAAAAAACCACCAAACTTAGAAATGCAGCATCATTAATAACAACAAAAATTTAAGTCCAACTGCAGGAAAGTGCATCTTTACATTATTTCACATCATGGTACACTATTTACAACCACTGGTTTAATTTGTACTTGAAGGCAGGTAATAGCTTAAATTAGTCATATTTTGAGCCAAACATGGTACCTAAAGCTAAACAAAGAAAACTGTATAAAATTAAGCTTAATCAAAGAGCAATGCTCAAAGTGAGAACAAATGCAAAGACTGTTTCCCAGTTTGTGCTACTCTTACAACTTCTAAAAGGTAGGAAGAAACCAGAGAGCCCACTTCAGACAAAAAAGCCATCCAAGTTAAATAGTAATTCTTTAAAGAGGGGAGATCTTGTCTTTATAGCCAGAGCACACTAAGGCAGAGCTCTGAGGCACCCAGGTCCACCTGCACAGTCTCCATCTCTTCACACACATACACCAGTATAAATGTTGACTACTCAACCACTGCACCAACATAGTAAATGATGTGGTTTAGAATTAGCATTGTGGTTATTTTAGCAGGAGAAGGACCCACTTTCTCCTTAAGTGAAACTAAGGGAGGTGGTGTTTTTTCTTTTTTTTTCCCCAAATACTTACTTCATCTAATGATTTATCTTCCAAAGCTGTTAAATCTAACAGGGGATTTTTCACTCCTTGAGACACCATTGCTTTTAACCCTGCATTAAGCAAAAAAAAAAAAAAATTAATTAAAAATTGTATCTATACAGAGATAATTGTGGGATTATTAGATTATATTAACCTTTAAAAGTAGAAGACAAAGGTTCTGCAGACAACCAAGTCTCACTGTGACTAAACTTAAAACCTTTTCCAAAATGCCATTTAAAATAAGCAATAAACTTGAAAAATTATTGTAAAAGATCATCCTACTAATTAGAGTGGTTTTCATCAACTCCTTCACATCACTGAATACTGCTCAGTTCAGAAATAAATTGAGGATGTAGTTATGTTAGTGGGCACTGGGAAGTCTTTAGTCGTGTGATTCTTCTAATTCTGGCATGGTTTTCTCACCCTATCTTGAGCAGAATGGGAACGTTGTGGATTCCTAACACAATGCTTTCATCAGCCAGAATACATACTGAGGAGTGGTGTTAAGTGATCTCAATTCTCCTCATTCCTGTATCATCACAAACCTATCTCAAAAGTTAAAAATAACCCAACCCTGAAGTCCGATAAAAGTAAAAAGGCTGACAAAACAGGGATGGCAGCTCCTCTGGGACATCTTAAACAAGATCCACATTTGTCAGTCACTAAACACTGATCTGTAACAGAAGGTGTAGCTGTTGTAAACTCTGCACAAACCCAAAATATGGAGCCTTGTGCAAACAAAATGATTCCATAGTAACAGATGGCACAGTGTCACCAGTCCAGCAGGACAGCCTCTTGTGAAATTGATCACAGCTACTGTTGCATGAGTTGTAATAAATCTGCTTTCTAGTGCTACCACTTCCCAAAAGCTATTTTGTTTCAAGAAACTATGAAACACTCAACTGTAGCTGACTTTCAGTGACAATCTGTAGCTTTCACTTAACAGTTTGACAAACAAGATGCCCAGTAAATGAACGTAAAATTTTTGCTTTCAGCTTGGCAGGGTCTACTGTATATACCTCTTGTTGTAAAGGGCTGTGCTCTCTGATGTAGCTAAGACTGCAGCAGCCTACTGCAGCAGCAAAGCCATAAAGCTTACCTTTTTCATCCAGTTTGGCACATTCTGCAAAGAGGTCTTTTGAGCCTGTATTGAGCCTGTCCCGATGGAAATAATGAGACTGAAAAAACCGCGTCCAGAATTCCTTCTCCGTCATGTTATGGGGAACATTTTCTGTGTACTTCATTTTCACTGTGAACAGAAGCCATCATGACTGACTACAAACTGTTCCACAAACCCCAGTATAGTATTTTATGTTAAAATTGCATTGCTTTCTGTCTAATGCTGCCTTCATTCGAGCCAATTTAATGTGAGGGAATGCAGTAGTTAAGCAGGAACAAACAGGTACTCGTGTCCTGTGATGTAGCTAATGCCTTGAAAAGAAATGCCTATAACAGTGGTCTGAATACTCTAATTTGAATTGCACACCCAAAAAGTCTGATTTGACAGTGTTCTAGTTATTCTCAAAATGGACCTAATCTTTTGAACTAAGGGCCAAAATGCACCAGTGTCCATGTTCAGTATAGAGCAGGGGAATGATGGAAATCAGATTATTTTCCTCCCAAGGGTGATTTCATGAAAAATAACAGTTAACTGAAACACTGAGTAGGAGAGTATTGTGGGAACCAAATGTCTACTCACAACTATTTTTTAATTTAAAAAAAAAAAAGTCAGTGCAACAAGTTAAAATGTTTTCATTTAATGAAATCATATGTTCATTTCAAAAGCATGTTCTAACACGTGCTTCTTCCCATCCCTCAAATGAGGTAGGGAAAATCATCCAGAATACTAAAGATGTGATCCTTTATATTTCCAGGTTCAGACTAATATTCTAGTCTTCCCACACTAAGATAATAAATCCACGCACTTAAGATTTGGGTCTTTTACTATTTAAAGCACTACTCTTACCTGCAGGATATGTTCGAAATATGGATTCGATGATATCTGAAGTCAAATTATACCTCAGACCATTGCATCCATCTGTTTGAGGTCGTACATCAGCCTAAGAAAAAGCATACAGGGAGGAAAAAGTCATGTCTGAAGGCCTTCTGTAACTGGGGAAGGGGAAAAAAAATGGCCTCTTGCAATCAAATTCTGCTGCAGATAAAATAATCTTCCTCCTCCAGTCATCTGGAGCACATTCGCTCATAAATAGGCTCTTACACCTTATTTCCTTGTACACTAATAAAAGCTTCTCAGTATAACTGACATATAACACTGAATTTAAAAATTCAGGGTATGCTTTACTCAGAACTTGCACCTTAGCTCCTGGTGATCTCTTTAGGAAGCTTTGGAGCAAGCAAGCACTCAATCCAGTTCTCAAAAACTGGAAGAAGTACATGATGCTGCCTTATTTTTTTCATCCTCTTCCTGTACACCTAAATTCTAGTTTTTGTACCACCTTCTTCCTAGACAAACACTCAGAGAGCCAGATAATGGCTTTAACTCAAAGTAGAGCACACATATATTCAGATATTTCTGAAGTTTTCTCCTTCACAAATGTAGTGTATACAAACACAACCAGTTGTTTTAAGAAAGCTTCAGTTGTGAAGGTTTTGGTTTTTTAATGTTAAGGTGAAAGAATAATGGGAGACAGGAAATCAGAGCAATCAGGTTCATTTGGTAACTGATTCAGGTATTTCTAGTGGGGAAAAACCAAGTGTTTGTACAAACCCTTGATGTGTGCACAGTCACTACAAAGGTGGGACTCCAGCTACAGTTATAAACTGTATAAACTTTGCTGCAGAAGCAGAAATATGTCTCTGTGGGAGGAATCTAAAGATTGTACCCAGATTACTTCTGAACTGCACTGAGATTACTAAAGCATGGTTTGGTTTCTACAAATGCATAACATAACTGAAAGTTGGGGAAAGAGATAAAACAAGCTTCCATATATACAAATTGTTCTTCAAGTAGCTGAAAGTATGTACTGGTTTAAAAAAATTGGGGAGGGAATAAAACCTTTAGTGTGGGAAGTCTTTGCAGCTTCATTTATGCATGTCAATGTTGCAACAGACCCTCTAACTTGCTAATTCACTGTGATCTAGTGACTAAGTTCAAGATGATTCCTGACTGAGAAAAGGCAGAGCAGAAGGATAAACATCTGCCTACTGTCAACTTAAAGTTCAAACTGAGCATCTTAAATTGACAAAACATTGAGGTTTCAGATTTGTGTAAAACCTTTACCTGACTGAGGAAAGGCAGAGCAGCAGGATAAACAACATCTGCCTACTGTCAACTTAAAAGTTCAAACTGAGCATCTTAAATTGACAAAACATTGAGGTTTCAGATTTGTGTAAAACCTTTACTCTTTTCCCCTTCTTCACACTTGCAATAGTCTAACATTTGGAGAGACGTTAAGTTGAAGAACCAGGAAAGAACAATGTTAAAGTATATGGGAACAAAGTACATGAGCAGAACTCTCACTTCCCCCCACTCTTTTGCTCTAAAATCCTTGCAAGTTGGAACATTGAGGTTTCAGATTTGTGTAAAACCTTTACTCTTTTTTTTTCCCCTTCTTCACACTTGCAAGTCTAACATTTGGAGAGACGTTAAGTTGAAGAACCAGGAAAGAACAATGTTAAAGTGTATGGGAACAAAGTACATGAGCAGAACTCTCACTTCCCCCCATTCATTTGCTCTAAAATCCTTCCAAGTTGGAGGTTCGACGTACCAGAAATGCTGCAGAGATGCCCACGTCCTGCTTACTAGGTGCTGCAGAATTATCCCCTGCATTCAGGCTTAAACGGTTGGCCCAGAATTCTTCAGCACTGATTACATGGCTCACAACAAGGTCTTTATAGAGCTGAAACAGAACAGGATCTTCTTGCAGCATTCTGGTAAAAGAATGTAGTGAATAGAATTGAAACGTTGCAGAATAAGTTACTACAATTTCCATAACTGATGTGAGTTCACAAAAGGAACAGAAACCAACTTTTCTTTCAAAATGCTGTGCATTTCTTCACAAGATGTGCAAACAACCAACCTCAATAGCTGCATTTGTCTCAAAAGAATTAAAAAAGGACTAAAAAAAGTTTAAGGCATAGCATTAAATGCTAGAAAACAGTAACAACTGAGAAGAAGTTGATGTGGGAAAAATGTCTTGTCCTAAAATACTCTGTGGCGCTCTTGTGTCTCTGTGCACCCAGGGCAGGGGTCTCCTCAACTGTAAAAGCACAATGGATTTTCTTGAGCTTCCATAAGAAAGGCCTCATGGGGAAAAAAAAATATTTCAGCACTATCCATTTCTTGTTTCAGATCTTAAAATTCAGTCGTTACAGGTGTGTACTCTAGTGCATGAGTACCGATGACAGAATGTGTGTGGGGTAAGATGCCTTAAAGCACACACTACACTGAGCTGTCTGCTCGTTGTGTTTCTGCTGGTGGCAGCAGGACCCTCCTGGCTTCACTGTCACCCACAGCACTGCTTCCAGCAGGGAGCCATGTTACAGAGGTTACCATCCAGACATCAGCTATTGCCCTTACGACATGCAAAGACTGTATGCACCTGAAACTTACCCCATGTTTCAGCAGCTTTTCATACAGCTGTGCACCTAACCTGAAACCCACCAGGCTATACTCAGGGAAACGTGCACGCGTGTTCACAACCAGCCAATAACCTCAACCTTTAGCCCCTCAGGGATCTTGATCATTTGCTAACAACAACAAAAAAAAGAGGAATCTTATGAATAAACAGCTCATGATCTAGGGAAGAATATAGATAAACTGCAGTATGGACTGAATCAAAGTCCAGAGCTGCTCTAAGGATGGAGTAGGGTGAGGTGGAAATGAAAACTGCATGGCAGGACATCAATACTGTTTTAACCACCAAGGTTTTTCCAGTTTTTCTTGTTGGTATAAATACGGATTAGTGGCAATTCTTACAAATCAGTGCAGCAGGAAGCAGTCTGTTGTTCTAATGATTTCATTAAAACTTGGAATTTTGGTAGATACCTGACCCCTGCATAGCTGGAGGAAGTGTCACAGGGACTCTGGATGTAGTATGCTTCCAGAACCTTTTTTCCTCATCTGTTGCAAACTAAGCTAATAAAGCCCCATGGCTGGACTTGGACTTCTAATCACCAAAAGAACAGACTATGACTATTTGTAGAGATTCTGGCTTTTCTGTAACTAGGAAAGCTCTTGATGCTGCATGGCATAATGCTGTAAAACTCCATTTAAGGATACAAAGACTCAGAGCTAAGACTGCCCATGTATTCAGTATTAATGCTGTTAGAAATAAGGCATGTAGCATAAAGAAACTTCTTGGCAATAGTGCCAAAGCAGCCAGCACTGCTGTAGACCCCAGCGGTTGCTGCAGAAGTGGAACCAGTTAAATCCTGGATGTGTCAGAGCTCCAGCACAAGGGGTCTTGCCTTTCTGCTGGAGAATCTCCTTACAGAGCTCCTACCTGCCCCATGAAACAATGCTCCTATGCTTTGAAAAATCTACCTTTAACTTGCTGAAGTTCAAAGCTAGGACAGTCTGGAAACAGAAGCTAATAGACACAGGATTCACAGCAGATGCTAGAATGAAGTGAAACTCATCTGGGGACATGAAGAGGAGGGTGCTCTGTGGCCACAAGGACTGGGTGAACACAAACATTTTAGAGGAATGGAAGTGTATCTTAAAAGCTCTTATGGGACAAGGACATAGGTCCTGACTATCTTCTCAAAACATTATTTTTTAGAATAAACATCCTGTGTTCCAAATAAAACACTGCATCTCAAGGGAGATGCATGAAAACACCCAGCAGTTTTAGTATATAAAACAGCAGGAAAGATTTGAGCAGGAAGGTTATGCAGGGAGGAGAGGAGAAAAAAAAAAAAGGAAAAAATCACAAATCAAGGAAGGTGAGAACTTCTGGAAAAGAAATAATAATAAAATCTTTCAAGCAGCTTTTCTGATATGTATATACTGAAGACTAAAGAGACAGACTGCAGACTGCCACTTGGGTGCTTTCATCTCACAGCCATGGGTAACAAAGCCTGGGTGGTAGCTGGGCTGGCTGCCTTTGCACCTCCAGAATGTGTCAGTGAGAACTCAAGTGTAGTCTCAACATGTTACAGTTATGTAAGTTTTATAGAAATGCCTCTAAACTGAAAGCAGAGATTTTTACCAGGGAAGCAAATGCTGTATCACTAATGATGTCGCAATAACAACTGTTAGCAAAAATATGCTATGGTTAGGTAACAGTTTAAAAAAAACAACACACACACAAACCACCCCCGATTAAGGCTCCTTTCCCTTTACCTGTTCTTCTCCTCAAGCTCTTTATTGGCTTTCCTCTTGAACTTGGGCAACAGTTGTTGAAGAAGATCCTTTACTGCATCCCGCTCCTTCACTGCTGTGCTCTCATTGGAGAAGTGAAAGTTGGTTGTGTCCCCTGCATGCAATACTAGCTGAAGCTGAATTTTAGCTTTACCTTCTGGACTGATTTTCTGGCCTAGATTACACAGAGAGTATTAATTAGCAACAGACAGCAAGCTTATACAAGAAACTCTTCTCTAGAGTATTGGCTTCTAAGTAGCTATCCTCATCACCCAGTTAAACACCATTACTGACTGTGTGAATTCCAGCCATGAAAGTGGAACAGCTTTCCCCCTGAAGTGGCAGGAAGCCTATGCCTTGTTCCCTCTAAACCACAAGGCATGGACACCAGTAGCCCCATTGCTCAGTGTCCTTCAGCTGCTGCTCAGGAGCCCCGAGCCATCCTTGCACTCCCCACACCCTCTGGCAGAGAGCTGCTCTGTGAGCTGTCATCACCTGTGCTCTGCAACTCACTGCCAGTCCAGGCTGCTGCTGAAAGGCAACAACTTCATCCCCCCTTCCACTTTTTCCTGCTGCCTCTCTTATATGAGCATTAGCATTTGTGCAACAAGCCAAACCAAGGAACAGGTCCACTGGTAAGTAACCCCCTTTTGTTTTTTTCTAGCTGGACCAGTTCCCACAGAAGAAAAGTGGCCTGAAGGCAAATGCAGGGTGGGGTACAGCACATCTGCTGACAGCCAAGGTAGGCTGGTAAGTACACTGAGCCCCTAGTACCCCCAAAGTCTATCACCAGTGCCTCTAAAGTGCTCTTACATGGCCAAGAGTCACAAAAAACCCTAACTCCTGCTTCCTTTCTCATACCCAGGGGGAGCAGAGGCCAGAACAGCTATGTCTATGGACTGTTGTGCTCTACTGACATCAGTGTAGTCCTGCAAATGGCACTGACTTAACTGTGAATCTCAGTCCTTTCTGCAGTGCAAGGGGGAGACAGGAACCAGATGTCACCCCTGAATCGTCATCTCTACTACAAATTTACAAATACCACTCCAGCCTTTTTGGTTTTTATTTTAGATGACAAAAAGAGCACCTTTCATCTAAGTTAAAAAGACTTCAATGGCTATACATGTAAATATTTAAAATTTAAGTGGCCAAAATGTAAGTAAATAGCTCTTCAGAGTACTTGTATGTGACTTTAAACAGCAATAATCACTAAACTCTTACCATGTGATGCACAAAACTTTCTTTTCCTTCCTTCTTTGGCATTACAGCACACAGAATATGAGCACCAACTGCAGCCAGAAAGGCAGCATGCTACAGATATTTACTGTTCAGTTTTGACTTGCAAGTACTCTGCTCCTGCAGCAGCCCATGCTGATTTGCAATGTTACCAGCTAGGCCAAACTACAGAAGCAGTTCTGAAGCTATGGTCTATTGGATCAAAATAAAACAGCAAAATTCCCTTTATATGAAAGCTGAAACAGCTTTAGATGGGTAATTTAAAAAGATGAAATGCCAGATAGTGTCTGTGTTAGACCCTGAAAATTCATCAACCCTCCTCCCACCAGCATATGGCATAATTATTTTTCTCTTCAACTGATTGCAGAAGTTTATCAAAAGTTAATAGAAAATGCAGTGTAACTTAAACATCTGAAGACTACAGAAGTTCTGCTGTAGCATCCTTAACACACTGGTGATACTTCACCATGGTTCTCACCTCTGCTGCTACACAGAATAACGTAGTCAAAAGCTCCAGCCCTTGCATCTTCCTAACTTACCTACGTGTGTTTTACAGCAAATAAGCTCTGGGTTGTATTTAGATGTTTATCAGAACGCTGCTCACTGAGGCTGGAAGAGGAAAAGCCTCCACTTACACTTTATGTCTGCATACATATGGCTGACTGTGAACCGGTCCTTGCCCTCGGGTGCCCATGCAATCCTTTCAGCCATCAGGTAGAGAGCCCCATCCTGCTTCTTCTGACGGACCTTCTTCACTATCAGCAGCACCTCCTCCGACGACGTGGCCATCGTGGCCACAAGGAGCTGTTGGAAACAGACAGTCGACCTGGTCAGCAGAACTATCTTTGCTGTAACTCTTCCACCACTGCTATCCATATCAAAGTATGGCGACCCATATTTGCTTCTTAACACTTCCATCATTGTTGAAACACCCCAGAAGACATGCTCCCCTCAGGTGGTGCAAACAGCAATTTATTTAAATAAAATAAGGCCAGCTACCTAAATAATTCATCTGATTATCGTGCTGATAGTGCTTTAAGACCCACAGATCTCACATTTAAACCAGCAACCAAATTTTCCTGTTTTAATGTTCTTTTACTGGTTTTTCAAGTTCAGAATACTGAAGCTAAGCAATGACAAATTCCAAATCTCCCCTGGCATTTGGCAGCAATTCCCTTCTTCATCATGAATGGCAGATGTTAAGTCTTTTCAGAAAAAGGAAGGATACAAGGTATGTGAAAACCACAGATTTCAGTTTCTCTGTGCTAACATTAAGGTAGCCCAGTTACATTCCTGTTCTTATTGTGGAGGGCTTTGCCCGAGGTCTGCACAACGTTTTGTACACTTGATCCCAGCTGGCTGGTTTCCTACCCCTCTCCCTCAAAGTCCAGGTGGCTAATGTTATACCTGCTTCAACACAACAGTAATTTTGTCACCAGTCTCCCATCAAAAAGCCTTTTGATACTTGCTGTCTTCTCCCCAGCAGTCACTATCATTCGTCTCCTCAGGCTCACCCTAGAGCCTTAAATTTCTCAGATTAAGGACACCACAAGTATGACTACTTTCTACTAACACACTGCCATACACCTATCAAAAATTTGCATCTTTGGCAGGTTGGCTGTAAAGGTTTAGTCTGTCCAATTGCTGTATTTTGTACATCATAACCTTTACTACTGATATGTAAAACAGTATTTCCAAATGCTGAGTTGCCTGTTTCATGTGCTTTAGAGTACCTGTAGTGTTTGATGTGCTTTAGACTACCTGTAGTGTTTGCTGGGGCCTGCATCAAGCTTCAAACGGCAACCCACAGCAGCTATTACACTGCTAGAAGGTATCACCAAATTGTACTTCTGCACATTTAAATTCACATACTGTTTGGTTTTTTTTAAAAAAAAAAAACCTGGCAGCAAGATAGGGTATTTGATGCTGACAATCTGGACAGCAGCGTAGCATTCTCTTCAGCAACAGTCTCAGTGTCTCCAAAATGAGTGAAATCAAATGTTAACTGGGAAGCCTCGATGGCCAAAGGGCTCTGCTCTTAAGCTTTGCTCCTTCATCACTTCAGCCATGCAAAGCCTTGCCAAAGACTTCAGTGCTGCTGAGCTGAACGTGGGGTTTCACATCAGCACCACTGCAGCAGCCTCCAGAACATGCTGTGCCACATTCAGAGCAGCCCTGCCAATGCCTCTCTCAGAGAGCACCCTGTGGTGTGAGTTCAGGGCTGCTTCCTACCACCACCCCTCCCAGGCTCCCAGCAGCATCACTCCCTGCCCGCCATGCTACCTGTTAGTTCCACAGAGCTTCCTCTTCCAGGTCTGCCTCTCTCATCACCACCTCGTCCTCACTGGAATAATGCAGCTGGCCAGAGACTCCAACAGACTAGAAACCTCAACACATGCAAGACTCAGGATTTTGATTTTGTTCTGCCTTTGTTAATTCCTAGTCCTTTAAGGTCATTATTGTCCGATGTGGTGGAGACAAAGCCTCAGAACACAGAGGAATTAAACCTGTACTGAACAGAGAGAAACAGGAAAGCACAGGCTCATTCTGATGCAAGTTGCTTTCTTTCCTACCATGCCATTTCACCCACCTACAACCAGTCTTCCAACTGTGGGAGAAAAGGATCCACAGCCAGCAGCCCGTACCTGCCAGCCCCAGTGCCCCGAGCTCAGTGCCCCGTGGGGTGTCCCTGTGGGGCAGCTACCCCCATCCACCTGCTGGGAGGTAAGCACAGGAGCTCGCTGCTGCTCTCATCTGCCTCACTGCTCTGCCCCCCTCT